GCTCAGGCAGCCCCAGGCAACTGATCCCGGGCCCCAGAGCAGTGGTCTGGGAGCAGCAGTGGCGCCCCGGGCCGCTGGCCCCCCAGGAGCAGCAGCATCCCCCCAAAACCGCCCCCCAGAACAGCACCATCCACAGACGCGCCCCTCCCCTCCCCAGCACCTAAGATTTAGTTGGGGTATTTTTAGTAAAAGTCATGGACAGGTCATAGGTGCTGGGATCAGTGTCCAGAAGGAACCACCCAGTGCACAGAGAAGCCGAATCCCCACAGCCCTGCAGCTTGGGGCATCACTGATTCCTGCACCACGCGGGATCTGCAGGTGTTTGAAGCCCATTTTCCAACCGACAACGCAAGGTGCTTTGTTCTCATTACAGTGCATCTTAGCTCGGAAAACTGCATGCTGGTCACCTGTCGCAGCACCCTGTTTGGGCAGTGGCTGGAACGCAGGGGGATTGTCATGGGCAAAGTTCTGGGCTTCTCTACTACAGCTAAGAGCTGAGTAAAAAAAATGCCATTTGAGGTGGGGATTTCAAACTAGGAATTAAAAAGTCACGTCCCGCTCACATTCTTCCATTTCAAAAACTGTTTTTGATGAAATTTTTGGTTTCCAAAAACTGCAACCTGGCAATTTTTAATGAAGACTGACAGTTTTCACTGACAAATATTTGGTTTCCAGTTTCTTAAGGAAAAAACAGAAAACTTCAAACAAAGTTAAAATTGTCCATGAAATTGTTTGGTCCAAAAGCCATTTTGTATATACATTATTATTATTTTTTTTAAAAACAAAAACAAAAAACAAAACAAAACCCCCCGCTCAGCTGTGCTCTACAGTTCTTGTGAATCAGCAAAATCCCAGCAATGCACCACGGACCAGGAAGTTCTGTATAACGTGTGAGCAAACCAGAGGCCAGCCCCTAGGGTGGCTGAAATGACTGCAGGATTGGCATTCAGGTCATGTGGAATTCCCACTCCTGTACAGCCGAGTCATGGGGCTAGAGGGAACCAGGGTGGTTGACGGAGTTTGCTGAGTCATATGAACCACCTATGGAGGATCAAAACCAAAGCGAATGTTCATCCCAATTCCTGCAGGGAGAAACCCGCGGCGGCTTTCCTCTCCACTCCAGCCCCTGGCTCCACCCCTGACTTCCCAGGGAGAGCACTAGGGGTGGGTGGGGAGCCGGAGGAAGAGAGAGTTGCAGTGTGAATGGGAGGGAGGAACCGTGTGGAAATGGCGTAACAAAATGGGACTCAGAGGGCCTGACTCCGCACCCCCTTGCTCCTGCATTATCATGTACATCATTCTACCCCCACTTGGCACTGCTGTAAGGGACCACAGGAGGGGCAGGCAGTGGGGGAATCTGGCCAACCGAGTGTCAGGACAGGGTCTGAAGGGCTGCCATTAGCTGGCTCCCTTCTCTAGCCATGCAGCATTCGCCCTGCCTCTTGAAAAGGGGGCCGAGATCACACACTGACATGGGAGCGACTCTTCCCCTTGCAACGCAGCCAGCCCACTACTCCCTGGGAGGGACTCGGGACGACTCTCCATCAGCACGTGGAGTCGAGAGGTCACTCTCCTAATGTCCTGTTGCAGCAGAGATTGGTCACCCCAGTTCTTCCTGCTGCTGTCATAGGACGTGGCCCATTTCTGACAGAGGTACAAACCGTGTCACCTAGCAATCACATCATTCCACAGGAGCCGGGGGAGTAAATATTGTCATGGAAAGTTTAAACTAGCAGGAAGGTTCACAGGCAACAGCAACCATTGGGTCCTGTTTTCTCCTCCTTGTAAACACCCAGCTCGTGACAGCTGTGGCTTTGGGAGTGACAGAGAAATGTGGGTCGGGGGAGGGAGGGGTCCCTTGACAAAATCTCCCAGGAGATAAGGGCCCCCTGATTCTCCTCTGCAATCTGCTCCTGTGTTTATCTCAGGATGAAAGGTGTGGGAAGGAGCCATGTTTGTGTCTTCCATATTCTGGGGCACAGGCCGGTTCAGTCCCCTGGTGTAACTGAGAGCAGTCTCAGGGATGTTCTAATTTATACTTTGTTTCCCATGGCCCCCTGTGGATTGTGGGCAGCACAGAATCGCCAGAGGTCTGTGTCCCGTAACAGAAACCTCATCTTGGTCTGTGCTGCTGTGCAGGAGCTGGGCCCTTTTCTCCCAGGATGGCAATAAACGATCTGGCGAAGAGGCGTGTCATGACAGCACCTGCTTTGTGTCCTCTGAGTCAGACTCTCCAGCTAGGAGCTTTAGGAGTGTGTAACCTCACTCCCATGGGAGTTCACTTGAAACTGGGCAGCTCTCAGGGGAAAGCAATTAAGGACTGGGGAGGATCGGGGCGGCTCTGAGCTCAGGGAGAACATTTGTGAGCCATTTAATGTGAGCCTTGCCTTGAACAAACAATCTCTGAATGGAACAAAACCTCCGAGGGTCCCGCAGACTTTGAGTGTCACTGCCCATAACAGATCACCTGGCTCCTCACTAGGGGTGTCCAGGAATTGTTCTTCCAGAAAGATACGTCTGACCCTGGGGTGAGAACTAGGACCCCCTACCAGGTTCCTCCCAAGTTTCTGTTGCCTCTGTACAAAGGCCCCCCTGCCCAGCTGTCAGGAGCAGGCAGGACTGGCGGATGGGCCGGTATGTAAAAGGCAGGTATTTATATACTACGTACGGGGTAATTGGAAACAAACAGCCAGCAGAGCTGAGTGACAGGTCAGGCCGGTTTTCCTCTGTCAATTACCCTGGCAGTTACCACACAGGTGTGAGCCCGGACAGACTTTCTGTTTCATTCCCACAGAACTGCCTGCTCTCTTCGGCTCGGACACTCTCCAGAAAACCCTGGAGTTGGTGGCACTGTGATCCCCGGACTCCAGCCCTGGTGGCGGCCATGGGACGGGACAGCTGTCTGGTAAGCTTGCTCCTCCAGCTCCTTGCAGAGCCAGCAATGCAGGGAAGTAGGCTCCCTGAGATTGGGGTTTAATTAACGAGCTGCTTTCTTTGCATGTGATGGGTGATTTCTGTGGGGGGAACCTGGGTTTGTTCTCCTGCCCTCTCTGTAGGATGTTCCTCTCCAGGCAGCATGTTTGTAACAGATGGGAGAATTCAGTGGGTAGGGAGGGAATCATGACTTCTGGGTTCTGTTCCCTGACACCGACCATCACTGCTCCATGCCTCAGTTTCCCCATTGGTAAAAGGGGCAGGATAATAGTTACCTTCCTTAGAAGGTGCTTTAAGGCTTAACCAGTGTTTGCCAAACAGATGGTGGCATTGTGCTAGGGAAGGGGATCTTACTTTTAGCTCAGTGGCATTGGTGAAATAGACCAGGACCTCATGGAAGTGCAAGGACCAGGGATTAGGCCAAATGCTCTGCTAGTGTAAATTGACCCTGCTCTGGTGAAGTCAATGGAGCAGCATCTATGTGCTCCCACAGCGTATGTGGTCCTGTGTTTGGTACAGAGAGGCAGTGTGATCCAATAGACAGAGCATGGGGCTGGGAGCCAGGAACTCCTGAGGTCTGAGCTCTGCTCTGTCCCTGCTTGGCCTTTTGCACGTCACTTAAGTGCCTTTCTGTGCCTCAGTTTCCCCATCTGTGCCATGGGGACAATATCTTAGAGTGGTGCTAATGCTGTAACGTGCTGTGTAGTGTTATCACAAAGACTTTGAGACTCTACTGACCTATGGCATGGGGAGGAGCTCCACAGTCCTGCTGTTCGTTTCTAATTATGATTTTCGCCCTCTTAGCAACCAACATCCAACCATAGACTCTCCTCTTACTGACATTTATCCCTTTCTGTTTGGCGAACAGTGATTGCTGTCTCCTATGCACTGTACCGAGGAGAAATAACCAGCCTGTTTGGTTTAACAGCTGCATCGACTTCGACTGATGCACAGTAAGTTCCTTGTCGTGGTGAAAACCTCTCTGTCTGCCACTCCTAGAGCTCCCCCCGGGCTGATGTAGCTTCCTGCTGCCCAGTATCAATCCCACGGTCTGGCCTAAGCTGAGTCCAGCTCTGAGTGATGTTGGAAGGCGAGGGGAGAGCAGCGCCTTTGCAAAATCAGGCCAGTCATTTGGGCACCCGCATATCGAGTAAATTACCTAACTTCAGGCTCTCACATTTGGCAATTTTGGCTTACCCTCTAGTTGAGAAAGCATGGACCTGGGAGTCAGGAGTCCTGAGGGCTGAGCTCAGCTCTGCTGCTGACTCACTGCAGGACCTTGGGTAAGCCCCTTCCCTGCTCTGTGCCTCAGTTTCTCCATCTGTAGAGTGGGTGGAATGGTGCTCACTCCCTTTACAGAGGGCTTTGAGATCTGTGGATGAGGGGCTTGTCTCACTGGCTTGCAGGAATCCGTTTCTGACCTGCTCCAGCTGACCCAACACAGAGCCAAGGTTTTAGCGTTGCAGAATGTCCCTTAATATGTCAGCATTATTCCCTTCTTTGTGCTGGCATCTTCTAAAGCGTCTGGTCTCTAAAGGGTCTGACCAGATTTGAAAGGGGAAAAGTCCCTGTGACTGATGGCCTTGCTCAGAGTCCTAATGACTGGGTGCAAAATAGATCCTTGCTGTCCCAGGAGATTTGGCAGCACCAGAGGAAAAATCCAAGATACCATTGCAGAATCAAGCAGACTTGGTTTTGCTTCGTCACACCACAGGTTTTGGTTCATTATAAACAGTCTCTGTTCTCACCTCAACTTCCTCTTATGATAGGGCATGAGAAGGGATCGTTTGTTTATACTCACAATGGGTGAAACTCCGGCCAGCACAGGGGCCTACTAATCCCTTAATCCCATCCAGAAGGTGCAAGTGAGGCATAAACCTTGTGCTGGCTCTGCAGTGGGAGGAATTTTGCCCATTGCTAGACACTCGGTCGGGTCATCGTTATTATGTTAACGCTCTATTTATCAGGCACCAGCAGTGCTATGCGAACGCACAAAAGAGCCAGGCCCTGCCTTCCGCTCTAGCTCAGAGAAAGGCAAATGAGTTCAGAGGCTAACAGCACGTTGGGTGATGATCCGGGGAATAAGAAAGAAGAAGAGCAGATATTTAGGCAGCTCATTTCAATTCATTCAAAACCGCATGTGTTGTTTGGTCTGCCACGGATCTCAGACTGAAATGATTCCTGTGACTTTCTGTTTCTGTTTGTTTCACCGTACCGTAAGGCCCTTTGGTGGTGTCCTTTCATTTTTGATTAAACACCCACTCTGAAGGTGCAGACAATTTCTAACTGTCTCTTGCATCTGCCTTCCCGTCATTGTTTGATTCTGAACACTGGCCTTCGATCCATGCTGTCCCTCCGCGGTGGGTCTCCCTATGTTGTGAACTTCATGTTAGGGACATGGCAGATTGTCTCTCACTTGCAGTCTTTAAGTCAAGATGGGATTTCTTTTTGAAAAGATACACTATTGCTCAAGCAAAAGTTCTGGACTGAGGCAGGAATTACTGGGTGAGGTTCTCTGGCTTCTGCTAAGCAACAGGGCAGCCTGGATTTTACCATAATGGTCCCTTCTGGCCTTAACATCTATGAATCTATGTTGCTGACGTGTTCCAGTTTTAATTCAAAGATTAAAACTGGAGATGGGCAAATAGTTAATAAAGTGCTGCCTGTGCATCTCCCCCTCCTTCCCCCCATCCCATCTCCATGAGCAGGACACATAATGAGAATCAATAACTGTGGAGAAATCTGTTTGAAAAATATCAGGAAATTCAGCAGAAAATTACTCTACCAGCTCTACTTCAAACCTATTGGGCCCGATCCTCCACTGAGTCAATGGCGCTAGGCAGACTGACACCAGCGAGGATCTGGCCCATTCGTTTTCTAGTTTCTCTCCTCATTGTTTCTATCCCAACGTTTTGTGCATGATTCAGGCCCTGCAGCAGTGACCTCAGCAGCACCTTTGGCTCAAACCACGCACACACTTGTGCATTACTCAGCACATGTTTTCTGTGGCCAGCAACTTGAACTCCATGTTGTCTGGATGACAGAAGACAGCACAAGCCCCTTATGCTACTTAAGTCCCACTTCAACCTTCCTTTGCCTGGTGCACAGAGATGACCTTTTTTTGCTCTCTCTGGATGTCTGGTCTGGCCACAAGCCCACCTCCAGTGAACGCAATGAGACAATACAGGAACTCTCAGCCGAGCCTTGCTCATGGGACTGCAATGAGCTCCAACCATGCAGTGAGCGTGGACCTTTTTGAAATTCAGGCCCCTGTTGCTCCTGGTTAGCCACACTGTTCTGGGGGAGGATCTGAGAAGGAAGGCTGGTGATGAGTACTTGTGGCACCTTAGAGACTAACCAATCTATTTGAGCATACGCTTTCGTGGGCTACAGCCCACTTCCTCAGATGCATGGAATGGAACATATAGTAAGAAATATATATACATACAGAGAACATGAAAAGGTGGAAGTAGCCATACCAAATGTAAGAGGCTAATTAATTAAGATAAGCTATTGTCAGCAGGAGAAAAAAACCTTTTGTAGTGATAATCAAGATGGTCCATTTTAGACAGTTGACAAGACGGTATGAGGATACTTAACATGGGGAAATAAATTCAGTATGTGTAATGAACCAGCCACTCCCAGTCCCTATTCAAACCCAAGTTAATGGTATCTAGTTTGCATATTAATTCAAGCTCAGCAGTTTCTTATTGGAGTCTGTTTTTGAAGCTTTTCTGTTGGAAAATTGCCACCTTTAAGTCTGTTACCGAGTGACCAGGAAGGTTGAAGTGTTCTCCTACTGGTTTTTGAATGTTGTGATTCCTGATGTCAGATTTGTGTCCATTTATTCTTTGCGTAGAGACTGTCTGGTTTGGCCAATGTACATGGCAGAGGGGCATTGCTGGCACATGATGGCATAGATCACATTGGTAGATGGGCAGGTGAACGAGCCCCTGATGGCGTGGCTGATGTGATTAGGTCCTATGATGGTGTCACTTGAATAGATATGTGGACAGAGTTGGCAGCGGGCTTTGTTGCAAGGATAGGTTCCTGGGTCAGTGTTTTTGTTGTGTGGTTGCTGGTAAGTATTTGCTTCAGGTTGGGGGGCTGTCTGTAAGCGAGGACTTGGTCTGTCTCCCAAGATCTGTGAGAGTGAGGGATCATCTTTCAGGATAGGTTGTAGATCTTTGAGCTTATGTTCAAATAAATGTGTTAGTCTGTATCCGCGAAAAGAACAGGAGTACTTGTGGCACCTTAGAGACTAACACGGCTGCAACTCTGAAACCTGGTTATTTCAGTGAAATTAAAAATAGCTCACTTCCTGGGCCGCTCCGTGACGTGCCAAGTCCTGTGGGAAATGACAGTAAGGCAAATTGCCCTTGTTCTCCTCCACTCCGGGAGTGTGAAAGCCTCTGGAGGGGCCCAGGTAGGAAGTGACATCTCTGCTCCTCTGCGTGTTTGGGGGAAGGGCAGAGAGCCACTCACTGCCCACCTTGCTAACCCTGCTGGGGATCCTGACTCACTGCTGGCTCAGGCCTTGGCAGCTCACTGGTTGTGAGCCGGGGTTGTGCTGATGGTGTGGGCAGGTGAATGCCACTAGGGACTAGCTGGTCAGGAGCGATGCTGAGGTCACCACGGTAGCGGTCGCACATAGCGACTCTGAGGTCAGAAGGGAGAGCTGTGGAGAAGGACGAGGCCGCTCTTCCCTATTGAGGGAACAACCCCCAGCGTGCTGCTGGCTCTGTCTGGGTGAGGGTTAGTCCCCCCGGCCTCACGCAGATGTTTAGCTCATGCACTGAAGCATGAGGCTTGACTTCCCTTGTTGCTGTTAGCTTAGGACCTGCCCATTGCTTACTGAAGTCAGCAGGAGTCTTTCTATTGATTTCCGTGGGCGTTGGATCGGGGCCTCAGCTGCCTGTACGTGTTACTGAAGGAGGCAGTGTGCTCTGATGGGACTGAAAGCCAAGAATCCCAGAGAGCTCTGCTCCCAGCTCTGTGACTGACCCCTCGGTGAGCCCCTCTGGCTAACGTTTTAAAGGGTGACCAGGCAAGTTTGGGTGCTCAGTTTGAGACATCCGGATTTAAGGAGGTGCTGAGCACTCACAACTCCAGCTGGAGCCCATGGACCTGTGGGTGCTCAGCACCCCTGGCAATCTGGCTTTGGTGCATCACGCTGAGCACCCAAACTTAGCCGCTGCTTTTGAAAGCGTTGATGGCACTTCTCTGTGCCTCACTGTCCCCGCCAGTGACGCTCTGGCTGTGAGCCAGTGGGGTTGGTCATGGGAATGGTCATAACATGAGCCATGCTTTAAAAACCCACCCACAGTCTTTGAGTCAGTGACCTGTTGTGCAGTGAATTCCGTGGGTGGGGTAGGCTCTAGGTGAACCAGCCAGGGGCGGCGCCAGGGTTTTTTCCACCCTAGGCGGCAGCGCTCCTCCTCTGAGCATTCAGGGGGCCTGGGGTCTTCGGCGGCGGGGGTCCTTCCGCTCCACGTCTTTGGGGCACTTCGGCGGCGGGTCCCGGAGCGAGTGAAGGACCCGCCGCCGAATTTCCACCCAAGACCCGGAGCGGAAGGACCCCCCGCCGCCAAATTTCCGCTAAGGGCGGCAAAATGCCGCCCCCCAAATCCTGCCGCCCTAGGTGACCACCTAGGGTCGCCTAATGGAATCGCCGGCCCTGGAACCAGCGTTACTGCTGTGTGTTGTACGTAGACTGCCCGTGTTCTGGGATGGGCAGCTTTCACTTGACCTTTCTTCATTTTGTGTCGCTCAGTTTAATCCCCTCGACTTGTTTTTAAAGGGCCAGGAAGACCCACAAACATCACACGATACGACCAGATTTAAGGGGACTTCAGTCAATGGCCTTACTCAGCTATGTAACATTGGAAGAGACCTCTGCGGGGCCTGATCCAAACCCATTGAAGTCAAGGCTAAAGGGGAAAGGCTCCCATTTAGATCAAGAGGCCTGAACAGGTTAGCTCTCAGGTGATGTACAGGGCAGGGCTCAAGAAGGAGGCACCCCCTCATTTTAAGTGTGTTGCAGGAGTGGCATAAGTAGAGTGGGGCAAAATTTTGGCTGAAACTTTTTCTGAATTTGTGTCGTTTTTCACTGAATTGTTTAAAAGAAACAAACAAAACAAATTCCAAAAAAGTCAAAACGTTTTGATGTTTTGATCCGAAAGGATTTCTGGTTTAGAAATTTCCTTCAGTGGTATCTAAAAAATGTCAAAATGTTAAGAAAAGCTAAAAATCCAAACGAGACACTTCGGTTGACCCAAAACGAGATTTTTTTTTTCAACGTTATGATGGTTTTCAGGTCGACCCAAAACATTTTGATTTTTATTATTTTTCTGAATTCCAGAGAACTGACAAATCAGTCAAGTATCAGAGGGGTAGCCGTGTTAGTCTGAATCTGTAAAAAGCAACAGAGGGTCCTGTGGCACCTTAGAGACTAACAGAAGTACTAGGAGCATAAGCTTTCGTGGGTAAGAACCTCACTTCAAAATCAGTCATTCACCTTCTGCAACTGGTCAGTGCAGGCAAGCCTACAGCCCCGTCCCAGCAGCCTTTTGTGATATTGTTGTGTTCCACCAATGGGAAAAAAGAGAAACTAGTCTGATTGTAGGAGGGGTAGGGATATCTGTGCTGACTCACCCAAGGAACTTACACATTACATTTTAACAAAGGGCTTGAAGGTATTTACTGAGTCTGCAGTGAAATGTGACAGCCTTCCAATGCACACATGAAAGAATCTGCCATTCTCATAGCAAATTGGGCAAAACTAGGCCAAATAAAATACGGAATAAGAAAATTCAGCTGGAATCAGGGTAATATATTAACTGCATGACAAGCTCTTGTGATTTCATCATGAGTCTCTCAGTGGTGGGTGGTTTTCTTCAAGCCCAAGCTCCTGCAGTCATGTGAATACACCAGCATCTCAGTTTTCATTTTTTTTAAAAAAGGAAGTTCCTGGTTGTGGAGAAAAGCTTGGAAAAGTGACCCCTACAGGTTCTAAAGCCAGAGGGCAAGTGGAAGGAACTCCAAAGATATGAATTTCAGCTGATCTCATGACTTTTTGGAGCCTGACTCGTGATTTTTGAATGTTTGGGGTTGGCAGAACTGTATTAAGTCCTGGCTCGTCAGGGGGCACGTCCCTTGCTTATGGCATACACCAGGGGTAGGCACCCTATGGCGTGCGTGCCGAAGGCGGCACACGAGCTGATTTTCAGTGGCACTCACACTGCCCGGGTCTTGGCCACCAGTCCGGGGGGCTCTGCATTTTAATTTAATTTTATATGAAGCTTCTTAAACATTTTAAAAACCTTATTTACTTTACATACAATAGTTTAGTTATATATTATACACTTGTAGAAAGAGGCCTTCTAAAAACATTAAAATGTATGGCTGGCACGCGAAACCTTAAATTAGAGTGAATAAATGAAGACTCGGCACACCACTTCTGAAAGGTTGCCGACCCCTGGCATACGCCCTTCCTATGTTGTGTAGAGATGGGCATAAGAAAAATCCCAGTGGCCAATGATTTAGGCCCAAACCTAACAGCTCAGGCTCCCTTCCATCACAGTGATGTATCCAATGCCCTTGAAAGGTTAGTGCCCAGGATCTCAGATTAAACAATGGCTGTCTGTCCTGAGGATGGAACGGTTCTGCCTTCTTTCACTGGGTGAGTATTCTCCCTCACTCAACACCTCGCTGGGGAAGCAGCTGCTTGGGGACAAGCCAGATCTTTCCAGGTCTGTTGCTTATGTCATGAATTAAGGTTTTGAGAGAGTTTCTGTGGGACAAATCATAAGTAAGCACCGAAAATGAGTGGACTCCCCTCAGGAGAAAGATCCCAAAGGATATAACCCTTGCATTTTGCACCTGGAGAAGGAACTATGAACTCCATGTTTGAACTCAATGTTTATGAACCATAAACATCTGACTTGCTTCCTCTTTGCACATACAATATGAAGGGGCTGACTCATAGCAAGTTCCTGGGCTCTCTCACTGCACAAGTGAAATTTTCTTTTTGCAAGTTCTCTGTTGCATGTGACTTTTTTACTGCTAAAATTAGCCAGAGATTTAAAACAGAAACCACATTATCAGCAAAAACAATGTTTGTTCTAAATTCAAAGCTCAGGCTGTCTCCAAGGAGAAATGGGGGGAAATGGCACACATATCTGGATTAAATTAATAAAGCACTCAGGAGAGATGAATTTGAGTAGAGGAGATAAATATTCGGTCCCATATTCACACCAATCAGTTGTGACATAATCGCAGAGCAGCATTCCAGGGCTCAGGAAGTTTCGGGCTGGGAACACCAATTATGAAATGTTACTAATTAACAACTAGAAGTTACATTGGCATTTTCTGAATGAGTGACTCAGAGGACTTATATAATGATAGATACTCAGTTTCCAAACCTGGGTCCATAAATTGGGGCACCTAATTCCTCACCTGGGTGCTCACATGGACACTGAGACACTCTACGGGGAACCGACCCACTAGTGACTGAGCTGAGTACCAAACGTGCAATCAGATGCCCTGAGCTAGGTGATCAGCTTGGAAAATTTGTTTGGCAGCCTCCAAAAGGAGAAAAACCAGAATGCTGCAGTGTGATTCTTTGCAAAGACGCTCAGCGTTTTCCAGCTCTGCAAGAGCTCTGGGAAGAGGCACCTCTAGGGCTTTCTTTGCCTCCACAGGCTGCCCGTTGTACCCTGGAGGTACAGCTGCTGGGACGTTCGGCTACCAAAGCCAGCCAGCTCCTTCAGGAAGCCCTGTTAATGGGATTTCCTGGCTGCGCACATTGGCTCTTGCTTCATGAAGGCAAGTCTTCTAGTTGTCCCTGGGCACCCAGGCTGGCCTTTGGTTACAGGGATTATCATCAGGGAATCTCCAGTAGACTGTGTGAGTGATGGTGTTTTCTTTACCTACAGATCAGTCTGGCTCTGCCAAACAGCAGCCTCGCTCCCAACCCCTATGCCTCGTGAGCCAGCCGCCCCATCGCCAGCCCGTCTGCACATCCACGAGAAAGGGTCCGTGGGAGCAACTTCATGCCGGGCACTCCAGAGTCTGCACCGGCTCCACCACGATACGTGGCTTGTGACAACACAAGTAAGATGGGTGGGGCAGGTCTCTTGGCAGCTACAGCTACTGGGAAGTCCTTGCCTCCTGGAGAGGTTGGGTGTGTGCTTCCAGCCAGCCCTGGAATTGTGAGCCCCGGTCGTTCATGCATTAGCTCCCGCCACCCTGGGAGATGGGACTGGATGGTGCAGTCTCATATGGACTGCTGCCGGCAACTGTGTCCTGTCACGCCGGCTGGCTAAAAGGAACAACCTCAGTAGGAAGCTGGCAGGCTCCCTGTGGCCTGTGGGATGCTGTGGCAGCAGTGGTAGGAGTGGAGGGAAAGCCCAGGGGGGTACGTTACCCTCCTGCAGAGCGATGTGTAAGGGGTGTACGTTACACTCCTTTGCACTCACTTAGATGCCTGTGGCCTGTGTGAGGGAGCCAAGTCCCATGGCAGGCAACCCCGGCTAGTGTCAGGAGCTGTACTCACAGCACCTTGTGCATCACCTCTGCACCTGGCCCAAGGGCGGGGTGCGCCCGGCTTTTAGGAATGGGGAGGTGACGCGGATGGCCTGTACATCCTGCCTGTGAGAACCAGGGCTTACACTAAAATTACCCGTAATGGGGACAACAATGGTATGGGCCAATCTAGCCTGGAGGCTGCCAGTTCAAATCCAGCCCACATCTGCCATGACGGAGAGCTGCTGTGCGGCGGCCTGGGTGGCATGTGTTCCCGGGTCCCAGAAAACACTGTGGTGAGCAGCTGGGCTCTCAGTCTCAGCAGAGGGACCAAGGAATGAATGTGCGAGGAGGACGAAGCCTCTCTCCGCCCTAGCAGGAGCCTGGGCGCATTGTCAGGGGAAGCCTTGGGGTGCTTGCGCTGCCTCTGCCAGTGGGAAGCAGCTAGCCTGGGATCCCTGGGCTGGAGCGGGAATGGTGCGTGCTAGGGACACCTGCTTCCCCGCCTGTCAGAAATGACATGTGCCTGCTAGCAAAGGAGCAATCGCACATCCCCAGACATGCCTTCGCGGGCCTAGGTAACCAACACCGCTGCCATGTCCAAAGGGCTGAGCGTCCCTCCTCTCCACTGGGGGGAGCTTGGACGGGAATGTCTCTGCAACCATGTGCACTAGTGACTGTGTTTCTGTCATCCCAATCCCCAGTGTCCCCAGCGGCAAGGTGCAAGGTCCCGTCGTGCATGGGCCAGAAGAGGCTGGCGCTGATCCTTTGCATCTCCTTTCTGATAGTCCTGCTCATTGCCCTCATCCTGCTCTGTGAGTCCTTTCCCCTTCGTTAGCCGCCAGCAAAGCTGGCCTGTCCTGGGGTGCAGGCCAAGTCCCTGCGTCCATCCAGGGGCTTGGCCCGCTGCGGGAAATAGGTCACCTAGGTTTGGGTTTGGGCAGGCCAAGCGCAGCTACTGGCCTGCCAGCACGGTTCTGGGACTAGAAATGCTAACAGGAGGGAACCCGACACCCTGAAAAGAAGACAAGTACTTAAGGACCTGCAGGGCCGGCTCTAGGCACCAGCAAAGCAAGCACGTGCTTGGGGCAGCACAGTTCCAGGGGTGGCATTCAGGTTTTTTCCCTTTGTTTGTTTGTTGTTTTTTTGCTTCGGCAGTTGTGCTCTCGAAGCTTGGGGCGGCACATTTTTTGCTTGGGGCAGCAAAAATCCTAGAGCCAGCCCTGAGGACCTGATTCAAAGCTCATTGAAATAAATACAAAGACTCTCATTGCTTCCAGTGGGCTTTGGAGAGCCAGAAATGAAAGTCATTTCCCCATTCTCACATTCTTTAACCTGCCCAGCATATGCTACTTTTAGCCTGTCCCATCGTGCAACGAGACATAGGTCTGAGTTGTAAGGCTTGCGTCAGCACCCACGCTCCCCTAAAGTTCAAGGCTGTTCAGATTTGGCCCATTATAGAGGGGAGCATGAGCTGGGATTTTCTGACTTGGGTCCAAAGTTCCCTCGAGACTGAAGACGGTTCAGATCTGATGTTCCACTCTGGGCTCAGCTTAATAGACATGGACTAGAGATTTATGGTCTGTATTTTCTGTGTCATATACAACCTCTTGGTTTAACACCATTGATTTGAGACTGATAGACTAGAAGGGGGTTAATTAGGAGCTCAGCTGGTCCCCACTCCTCCTAGCTCCTCATATCCCGCTGGGTGCGTTTGATAATTGTTCCTGTCAACTCCAGTCACAGCCTGGGAGCTACAGGCTAGCACATAATGGCACTGCCTGGCTGTCAGAAGGAGGCAATGCAGCTGCAGTGCTAAGGGTGTGATTCCTGGAAAGATGGTCCAGGCGGTGGGATGCCTCCATCCTTCTATTTCTTGAGTTTTCCTGACACCTGCTGGACACCTGGGAGCAAAGAATTTCACTAGGAAATTAAAACAACATCCTTCTCTCTTTATGGCCCTTTCTGCCTAGTGTTTTAGATGTGACATGCACCCAAGTAATCAGAGGCAGATGGTTAGATGTTTAGATAAGGCCAACACTTTCCATTTCCTGCAAATATTTTCAAGTGTGGCCACAGCTATCAGCACATATGCTAGTCCCTCCTCCTCTGGGTTAATTTCTGTGCCAGGCACACAGCCAGCGGAGAATTAGTAAGAGCTCACCAAATGGAAAGGGAAAAATCAGCAGAGACAGAAAAGTTATTTTCCAGGTTTTACAGATAATGAAGAGGTTGTTTTTCCTAAACTCCTTTGTCAAATCTAGCTGCTAGTTTTCCTTTCATCAGTTGCATTATTGAGCCTCTGCAGTCTCAAGTGGATTTAGAGCATTTTTACTGGGCGAATATTTTGCAGATGCAAATTAAAACTGTGTGAAGTGAGACTGGATTTTGAATGGAGCTGAGTCAAATGCAGCAGTTTTGGATTGCCTGGGACGAGGGTGGGGATCAGGTGAACTAGAGATTGGCCTAAACCAAACTCTGGATCTGACCTTGAGATCCCATGGGCAGAATCCCAGCTCGGAAGATGCCCAGTCAGATTTGGCCCATAACAGCCTGAGGTTTGAACTGTGACCCATGATCCAGGCTCAGACGTTGCCTCCAGTGTTTGGGCGGG